TTCTCCATTTTCAGAATTTCCCTTCTTGGCAATATCTTTTACCACCTTTTGGTGCAGCCCCACTTTCCTTCCATTTCTAGTATGTTTTTGCTGCATTTTCTTCTGCAGCACTCTACCTCTCTATTCACCCTTGTACCCATTGGTTGGTTGATTTGTTTGGACATACCCATGTAGTCAATACACTATCTTTTGACAGCATTTTTGAAAACTGATTTTTTAGCATGTAGATATATCATTTGCATGTTATTTCTTTGTCCTTATGACATAAGAATAATTTTGTAACATGGCACATATGGTCATCTCTTGCATGGGACTGTTTTGCATAATATTCACATTGCCCATGGCTAAGCAAACAAAGTCTTGATCTTGACATTTTCCAATGTTGATTTAATTCTTAGATATTTCTTGGATATAATGTGGACTTGGTGTGGAATTTCCATAACATGAATTGGATTAGAGACTTGAATGAAGATTAGAAATACATTAATTTCTAAACATTACTTAGAGTTGAAAATCTTGCAACAAATGACATTCTTGTAATGTCACAAACTTCTCTTTATAATATTCTTACCTTTAATCTTGAATTCATGATGGATTTCCCTTATGTCATTGAGTTTGAAAGAAATGGAGAAATGAATCAAGCCTTGAAAGAGGACAAATTTTGGGGTGCAACAATAGAGAAGAAAGAGAACTTCTAGTTCAAAATGTAGGAGTCTTCTGAGGAAGGAAGGAAGTTGAATTTGCAAGGGAAGATTGGCAAGATTATTTAAACAATCTAGATATGTCAGATGAGCCTAGGGAATTCCTTAGAACAAATCTGAATGTCTAGAAAGTTTTTTTTATAGTATGTATTAACTTCTAATCTTTCAATGAGTAAGTTCCAAGTGTTTTTAAGTTATAAACCTAATTTTTTATTCTTCAGACAACATAAAAAAATGCACACACAACAGTTAAGACACACAAGAATATGAACAAGAACAATGAACAATTTTTAACAACAAGATTTCTTAATACAAGATGTTTAACAATTACAAGGCATATATTTTCAAAAATCCAACATCAAAATCTCTCATAGATAGCTTCAAACTTTTCTCTCCAAATTTTATAAGAATCATCCTCAGAACTTATGGCAACTCTTTGTTGGATCAACAATTATGCAAGAACTCGTCTGTAAGGAATGAAGAATGTCTTTCCTTAATGAAAAGATGAAAGAGTCATCTTCAGATAGTCAAACATAATTTGAGGAAGATCAATCTATAGGTCTGAATTGAAAAGAAGTATCAAATCTTTTTCAAAAGAGTCTACAAGGTGTATATCCTTGTCTTCAGGAAGCAGGTTTGAGTTCAGATTTAATTCCAGACAATTGCATTAGGACGAAGATTTGAGACCAGATAAATGTTTGATGGATCTACAAAAGTACGCCATGTAGGAAGATAGCATTCCTAAACAATAGTGCCTGGAATTTCTCCAATCTCCTCACAGTTGATTACATTAGCAATCATCTTAGATGTTACTGTTATAGAAACACCAATAAATTTAGAAAGAATAACATACTCAAAACTTAGCTAAACAATGGAAGCATTAACCTAAAACTCTTTGACAAGATTTGGTGAAGAATTGACTAGAGGATTCATCTCAGGGTTGGTTTGATCAACACACAACAGAAAAACAAATAACAAGAAAATAACTACACAAGATTCTGACCAAAGAGGAATAAGAATCTTGTCAGAGGGACAAAACATGTGACACGAAATGATGTTTCACAAAGACAGGGGATAGAGATCATAGACATATAAAATAATAAAACACCATTACCCAAAGGTTCTTACCTGGCAGACTTCTTGAATATACTATATGATTTCAACTTTATGGAATGTTAAGTAAGACAAGGGTTTTAAAAATAATTCTTTCTTAAATTGCTTTATCAGAAGTAAAGATTCCTTTTAAGAATCTCAAAGACTGACTATTTTTCAGAAGCTATTTGTCATCAGAGTCTAGTAGGATTAGACTTCAAGTGAGACATCTTCTGTTTAATTATCAGTCTTTGATATTCTATTCATGGTCAAACATTTTCTCATAAAACAATAGTCATGCTTGATTTATGAATATTGAATTGGTTTCCTTGACAACTAACTGGCAATAGTATTATCATAAACAGTGAGAATATTGTTTCCATAAAAAGGATCATCTTCTAGACAATGACATATTCAGTACAGTCAAATACAACATAGTTTCTTTATCAAATATTTCTGAAGATTTTTTTGTTATTAACAAACAAAACTTCTCTAGAGATCTAATCAGGGACTTTGTGTTTCACTCATACTTAAATAGTTCATTGATTCAAGAAGTTTGTAAAGATGAAGAGACAAAACATACCTTTTTTTGTGTTTTTCTTGGTTAGGCTTCAGATGATTATTTAGATTTGACCGTAGAATCTGAATTCTGTCTTGAGTGGATTCTGAGTCAATGGCAGGCAAACCAATGATTCCACTTCCTTCTCCAAACTCCATACATTTGTATCCTTCAGCTCTTGATTTTGGTATGTAGGCATTTCTTCCATCAAATATTGTAAAAAAATCTTTTATCAAGCATCATGGGAGATGCCTTGCTCCTTTCTTCTATGATATATGCAGCAAATACAATTTTTGAATGTTGGTACCCATATTTCTGTGGGTCCACAAATGTTAGTCCTGACAAACTTTTTCTTACATCACGCCTTAGTCTGATAGAAGTACCAAGATTCATTTCAGAATAGAGTCTAGGATGAATTATGGCTTTTAACAAAATCTTGTTCTTAGAAGAGTCTTTGATTTCATTGTCTTGGATTAAATCTATTGACTTCATAACCCTTGATTTTGAAATTATTGATCAACATAGAACAAGATAGTGTTTGCTATCAGAGGTTGACATGAGATAAGTTTTCAACATTGTCTTAGTAGTGGCAGAAAACAAAAGAAGAAATGAAAGATTTCTCACATAATTGTTCTTTAACACAGATTCTATGACAACCTTCAATTTCTATAGGAGCAATGGAGTCACTTAAGATATTATCTTGAGATGCAGACTCCTTATTATAAATATTTAAGTAATATGGATTAGTCAATACCTCTTTCTATTCAAAAATTGATTTATTCCTGGATCCATATTGGTTCTTCAGAAGATGTAATGTCCAGCAATGCCAGATTTCCTTTTCATAAGATTCTGAATCCTCAACTATGCCAGCTTCATTAGAATATGCTTTGAAGATCTCTAACATTTTTCTTTTTGGGATTTTCTGTCTGGTAGTTTTTATCCTTTTTCTTAAGATTTGGATAATCAGTTGAAATACGAATACTTCGGAAGCTTCTGAAGTTACTCTTTCATCAACAAATATCTCATTCCATTTAGCCAACTGATAGAATCTTTTGATAAAGAAGGCTAATTCCTCATCATCAGACATTCCATAGGAATTTTCTTCAATAGGCTTGAGGAAAGGGTGATCTCTTTGACAACTTTTCTTCATCTAATTCCATATATTTTTTTTGAAGAATGTTATTTAAACCTTCAAGACTCAGTCTACTCAAGTTTTTGACTTCTTGAATAGATGTGAATTTTTGGTTTAACACTAGCAAGCATACTTCTTAGAATTTGCTTGAAAAATTAAATAAAGTGTAGCTCAATAAGCTTCTAGCCGATTTCCTTCAAATTTGAACACAAGGATTCAAAGAGAGTCTTAAGTATTAGACATATATGTCGTACCTCGAAAAATGAGAGACGACCTCGCGAAGTGCAATTGCACGCTCGCGGGATGGACTAGATAGAGTCTCCACCAAACTTTATTTATTCTCATACGATGAAAGGGAAAATATCGATAAAAACCCTAAACGAAAGGAAAATATATGGTCATCCCAACAAAAAGCCTGAGTTTGGGAGTCAGTTACACAAGGGGAAGGTATTACCACCCCTCACGTATATTGTACTCAATGGGAACCATTAGGTTATGTGTGCGCGTTAGTGTTTTCTTAGAAATGATAGGCTTCTCGAGTTATTAGGAAGAAAAGAGAATAGAGAGTATATGGTTTATTTTATTAGGGTGCTCGCCAAGATCTTCGCAATCTCGTGGCTACGTATCCTCATAGTGCAATGAGAAAGTCAGAGCAATAGTAGTTCGGGAAACTACTATTTGTTGGTTGATTTTAGGATGACGAGAACTACATCTTGGATCCTCATTCTCGGGGAGACGTTGACTACAACCCAGTCCTTTTTCATCTTATTTGAGAAAACATTTCAATACTTATTAAGTGTCTTGATTTGATTGAGAAAATGCCACCTGATATTGAATCAAATGTTTATTAACGTTTGAAATAGTGAGGATTTGAACTAAGTGGAAAGGAGGTCCTAATGGATATAGGGTAAGGTTGATGGCGATGCACAAGACAATCGACTTATAAGAGTGAGATAGGGCTTGACATATGAATTTGAAAAGCAAAAAAAAGTTACATGAAACCCTAGTCGTCCACGATTTACACGAAACAACATGATTAAGCAGATCAGTTAATGAAGGCAACAAAAAAGGTGGAAAAATGTTGGGCAGTGGGAAGGATCATGGAGAAAATCAACTAATTAATGTCATCTATAAATTAAGATAAAAATTATAATAAAAGGGTAATGGAATTAAATAAAAAGGAAAACGAATCAGACCAAATAATCTCTCTTTCATCCCCAAATGAGACTCTTTCTCTCTACGCCATTTTCAATCCTTTCCAAACCTCAACCTTCTCTTTTTTCCAAAGTCGCTTTCGACATGAACAAACCCTCTTCACAATCAGCATATAACAAAGCCAAACAAATGCCACCAACAAGAAAATCCTAACCACACAAATCTCAAACAATTGTAAACCTTAAGTCCAACTAAATATGAGCATCCACACACATAAAAACATCAAGCAAAACACAAGCAAGGAAATTGCACACGGAGAAGGACAAACCAAATGAACACATACATGGAATCAGTGGAAAAAATGGAGCTAAAGCTTGAAAAGGAAAAAACGGGAATAGAGAAAAAACGTTACCAACGGCGGACACACAACAGTTCAGGTATGTATATCAGCTCTTCCTTCTCCAAATTCACAAATGATATCTTCTTACGTGTTGTTTTGATTGATTTTCGAGTGCCCTTGGATTGTTGTTGCATTGTTGTTGTTCTTTGCTTTTGAACCTTGAGTGATTAGAGTTAGAAAAACTATTTTTCTACAGTGTTTTCTTGCTATATTTTTTGTGTTAAAAGCTTAGGTTTTTCTTGATATGTTCCTCTCTGTGTTAGGAATGAATAGTAACGAATATATAGGATGCAAATTAGGGTTTAGGTTGTGATATGATTCTGTTGGTGAGGTGGAAATCATACAGGGTTATTGTTGAGTAGTGGGATGTGTCTTTGTACCATTTCACAGCCATTGTGTATCATGTTTTGTCTGTAGTAAGGCCATAGTATAAATGACCCCTCATGAATTCTTTTGTTGATTTTTACTTCTTTTACATGATTTTGAAATTTCTATGTAGTTTGCTGCTTGTAGTGAATGAATAGATTGCATATGAATGTGATAATATGTTATGAGTGAATGTAACTTTTAATGGTGAATGTGTCATGAGGTTTGAATGATGAATGTATTATGAATTTTTAATGGTGAATGAAGCTTGCTTGTACATGAGTTTTGATGAGTGAATTAAATGCCATGCTTGAAATGAGTTGAATTGGTTTGGATTTGAATTCTTGAAATTTGTTGAATTAAAATTTGAACTTGAATGAATTAGAATGAAAATACTTGAACTTTCTTGAATTGGATTGAATTGAAGTGCTTGAATTAGAAACTTGAAACTTGATTTGAATTGAAATTGAAATGCTTGAATTTGAATCTTGAAACTTGATCTGGATTGGAATTGAAATGCTTGAATTTGAAACTTGAAACTTGACTTGGATTGAAATTAAAACGCTTGAATTTGAAACTTGAATTGGATTTGAACTTGCACATAAAACTTGAATTGGATTGGATTGAATTAAAATTGAAACTTGATTGTTTTGAATGTGATGGATGAACTTGAAATGATTTGAAGGAGTTTAAATTGGATTGTAACATGATGAATATGCTTGAATTTGAAGTTGGATTGGATGCTTGAGCATGACATGAATTTGAATGTAAAGTTTTATAATTTTGAATGTGAAATAAGCTTGGTGTTGTCATGTTGCTATGCATGTGGGGCTGTTTTGTGCTTGTAATCTTGGCTTCTTTTCATCCTAACTCAATACGTTTGGCCTTGTAGGTGAGCTACTAGATAATCATTGGCACGACTAAAAAGAGTATGAAGTTTGGCCATGAAGGTGAATTTGTAAAAATGACAAGGAAATAGTGGAAAGAAACTTGGTACTAAGGATGGTTTAGGATAAGAAAATGATTTGGCTTTAATTGTAATAAAGCAAGAAAATTGTAGTTTCAAGTGTCATGCTATTTCCTTGTAACTTACAACTTGGCATGAATTTCTTTGGAATGAAAAATTGTAACTTTATCATGAGCTTGAATTAACATTATAACCTTGTAAGTTTTGTCATGAATTTGAATTTGAACAGGTTCACAAACTTGAAATGCTTTTGACATTGACAATCTTGTCATGAATTTGAATCTTAAATGGATATAGCAATTTGAATCTTGGATGGAATTTGAAGCTTGGTTATGAATTGCAATTGAATCTTTGAAGGAAAATGTAAATTGATATGAATTTGAACTTGGTATGATCCTTGAAACTTTGATATGGAATTGAAACTTTATCATGAATTTGACTTTGATCACTTCCTATAATCTTGAATTAGTGACTTGAACTTAACTTGAAATGGACTTTGAAATGGGAAATTTGTCATGAATTCAACTTGAATTTGAAATAAAATGAAATAGATACTTGAAAGAAAAGAAAAATGAATGAATTAGACCCTTGAATGAAAATTTAAAGACTTGTCATGAACTGAAATTGAATGTTGAATGGACAAAGGAAACTTGATATGAAATTGAAATTGAACTTTGGAATTTGAACTTTGAACAAGGATTTGAATGTTGGATCTTGAATTGAAACTTGGAATGAAATTTGAACTTTGTATGGAATTTGAAATTTTAGTAAGAAACTTGAAATCTTTGAATTTTTGAATGGAATTTGTTCTTTTTGACAAGAATTTGAATTTCACAATTAGAAATGAATTTGGAATCATAATAATTGAATTTGAATTTCACTCTAGAGCTTGGATAATGTTGAATTTGAATTTCACTCTAGAACTTGGATAAAGTTGAATTTGAATTGGTGACTTGAAGTTTGAACTCTCATAACCTTTGAATCTCTATCAAAATCAAGTTAAAAGGAAAGAAAATTGCTCCATGTTCAACAACCTCGTATTAATTTTGTAAGAAGGTCTTGAACCAAGCATAGGTGATTTAAAGCTTCTTGAAGCTTGTGTTGTTCCAATTGATCAGAAGTAAGCCAATACTGAGCATTAGGTTTCTTGATTCCTAAGTAACTTATAGTAGCCTAAACCCTAATCACCAAATAGCAATTATCTTGAAGAAGAAGATCCCTCCTTGTTAATCCATTGCAACCCACATGTTTCATGCACCCGGGTATGATGATGATGAATAAATCATTGATATGAAATACTGGGGTGAAAAATGATGGTGTGACAATATCAATGATGTTGATATACTCATAATGAGATAGAGCACCTACCAAAATACATCTAACTCCAAGAAGATTTTCATAAAGATTCTTCTGAGCTGGTGTGAGAGGTTTTCAATTTGATCATCCTTACACCACCAATTTCTATAGTAATACTTTTTTCAAGGGTATTCTATAGAATTTCATCAAAACCCTTTCTCAAGACCGATGATTTAAAAATATCTTGATCTTCCATCATTTAAGTTCAGTGGAGTCACCCCTGAATATGGGAGGACTAGAAAAGTGATATTTTTTGTATGGTACTTGATTCCTTCTTGAAGGGAAGTCTTTAATAGACGCATTTTTATCATTAGATCTTTATCTGCACCACTATTAGGTGTTATGTACAGACCAAACTCTTATACTAACTGAATGTAAGAAAAATACACAAGAAAGGGGGTTGAATTGTGTTATTCATTTTCTTTAGTTTGCTTTTGAATAGAGTTCAGATTCTAATAATTAACTGCAGCAGAATAATAACATAAACACATAAATAACAACAACAAAAAACATAGATTTATACTAGTTCCTCCCAAACTGAGAGTAGTCCAGTCCCCTTGCAGCATAAGAGATTTTCCACTATAATCAAATCATGATTACAATTACTTATGTCCTCAACACAAGAGTTTACTGCTCATACCCTTAGCCCGAGACTTCCTGATTAAACCCCTCAGGTTCAAGACTTACTTGCTCAAGTCCCTCAGGCTCAAAACTTCTGCTCAGACCCTCAGTCCAAGACTTCCCTTTTTAGATTCCACAAATCCAAGACTTCTGCTCATACCCTTCAGGTATAAGACTTCCTTGCTTAGATTCCACGAATCCACTACTTCTACTCAATTAACAATTGATTAAGAATTTAATGTTCTAGCACATAGTAAGAGACTTACTTAGCTAAATATTCACAATAAGAGACTTGGATGCTCAAGCACATAACAAGAAAATTTATCTAAACTACTAAATAACTTGTGTAACAGAATAAAGAACAAGATGTACTTGATACATAATAAGAGGTACAAGGCAATACCCATAACAAAGATCACAATCCTTAAGATTTACAAGATATTCAATGTTTAAGAAATATTAAGATTTTGTACAATTTACAACTTATAACAGAAATTCTGCATACTCGATTGTGTTGTTATTATTGATCTTGTTATTCTTCCATTCTGATAGAAGCGAGGAACAATTTTATCCTTATTGGCTCTTCTTATTTTTTCTCCTTGTTCCTAAAATCCATGTTGAATCTTCAACTACTTATAAGAGTTTCATAGGAATATTCGTTGGAATAGATAACATGTACAAGTGTCTTTATTACTCCATAGTACAAGAGACGTTGAAGATAAATACACCAAAAGATTTTGATCCGTTGTGTAACTTGTTTAACCATTATGTGTTACTTGAGGTCTTATACTATAAATCCGTTGAGAGTAGATATGTGTAAAGCATTTTAACTCTTCTTGATCCATGTGAACACAGACTCTAGCTGACATCAGATTTGACAATGTAGCTTACTTTCTGCAGGATAAATAACTTTAGCTTTGTCCTTGGTTCTGAATGATCACTAGAAGCTGATACATTCAATAAGATTGGAGACAATATATTTCTGTTCTAATGCTGAGGCCTTCAGCTTAAGAGTCTACACAAACCTATATTATCAGTCTTTATTTAAAGAACGTTCTTCAAATTCTGAGCCACCGAAAGCCAATAACTTAGTTTCTCTCAAGTGCGTCCTTATATCAGATTCTGACTGTATGCTTCTTTAAGCTTTAGAACATGCACACTTAGAAAACACATTAGATAACACCATTGTTCTTTCAATACTTTGTTATCATCAAAATCCAAATGATATATGTCATGAACAAATCTTTTTCTAACACGCTCCATTGCCTATGGCGGAGAATCTGGATGAGATGAACTATAGTTGGCCCTTGTACTACTTCGGAGCTCCCCAAGGGTGCTGCCTTTTTGGGTCCTTTAAGCCTTATTCCATTGATGAGGTTAGGTCAGGGTTCTTCTCAAGGACGTCGGCTCCCTTCTTTTGAGGAAGATTGCTCATATTTGGTCAACCTATCTGACCGTGCCTTGGATGAAGAATTGGAAAATCTAAAGTGTCACACTTGGTGCGCCTCTACTGCTTTGGCTATTGGTGGATCCGTTCACTAGGACGCCCTTTGGTCTGACTAACAACGATAAGATAAGCGTAGGCTAGAGGAAAATGCATGTAGTCTAAGACTCTAGTAGGATACATACTTGTAATAAATACAAATAACACCCACCTCTCTTACCAGGATAGGTGATGTTTTATGCCCCCTTAATCTCCCAGACTCTCTTATCAATGCACTTTCATCTTTTTTATGGACGAAAATATTTTGGCGGTCTTTCTCTTCATGGTTTCCTTATAGGAGAGGTTTGTTTGGGGTTCTCCTATAGTTGTTGGCCTCTTTATCTTCGTAACTGGTGTCAATTTCGACAACTTTTGAGGGAGATTTACCCTTAGGCGACTCTTCCCTTTTTCGTTTTCCTTCATTCACGCACTCAGACAATTAACCTCTCTTGATCAATCCCTCAATAATGCCCCTCAATTGGATGTAGTCGCCGGTGTTATGCTCATGTCTCTTGTGGAAGCGAAAATACTTGATCTTATTCATTCTAAACGACTCTCGATTGGGAAAGGGGATTATGAATCCTCCCTTTTGAAACTTTGTGTTAGTGCATCCTTGGTAGATCTTTTCTCGTGATGCATTCAATGATGTATATTTTTCGTAATGGCCCTGCATTCCCAGGTCGGACTCGTCCTTCTGCCGATGGGACTCTTTTTTTGTCAGGAAGCTAGAGTTGGCATCAACGGAGGCGGGATTGTCAAACCAGGTATTCATTTTTTCTTATATGATCATATAAGATTGAAACATGCTCAAAATTTCCTGTGTGGTTCGTGCTCCTTTCCTCCCCAACTTCAATCTGAAGGGATGATTTTGTAGGTGGTTGTTATTGTAAGTAGAGATTACACCTAAGAGGGGGTGAATTATGTATTTTAAAAATTTTCCGATTTTATCTTATGTTGAGTTTTCTTTCCTGATTATTTACTAAGTTATGAAAGCGATAAAGTGTGGAAAGTAAACGACACAAGGATATATCCTGATTACCCTCATAGTCCGAAAGTACTTCAGTCCCCTTACCACATGTAAGAGATTTTAATATTGTTAAATCTTATGGACAAGACAATCCTAGTCATCCTATACAAGATTCTAACACAATCACCAAAAACAATCCTCTTAAAAATTTTCACTAAGTTAAAATGAGAACAATCCTCTCAAAACCAACTCTCTTATTTCCAACAATCCTAGACAACATGAATTACAATAAACCCTATAAGAAAAAACAATTCTCCTTCTTATAATACACACCTAATTCCAAACAATCCTTGGAACTTAGAAATTTCTACAACAATTTCAATAAAATGAATATATGAAGATTTGTAGTATTCTTTAAGACTTATAAAAAAGTATTCTTCTCTTTCAAGTATGAAGATTCAAGACAAATTCTCTCTAAGTGCTCAAGATACTTTTATGATAATAATGTGAAAATGTATTTCAAAAAGTATCTAAGTATGAGAGATGTGTAGAAAATAAATGTAGAGAGATTTTAATATTTGTATGAAAGAGGTAAATGAAAAATGAAAAATTGAAATGAATTTATAGTGATGAAAGAAACCAATCAAAAGTCATGGCAACGGTTAGAGAAATTATGAATTTTAGTAAAAGAAATGATGTAAGGGATGTCATGAAAAAATATGATGAAAAGGTGCATTCAAACAGAGCATTTTTCAATTCTGCTACAGTACTTGTTAAGTCGGTTAAACAGATACCTGACTTAACAAGTTCGCAACATATATCAAATTTAAAATTTAAAACGCCAATAATTTATCAAAAATTGAATGTTTGAAAAAAATTGAAAAATTGAAAATTTGTCTAAGTATTTGAACCAACCTTATGCAACATCTATTGATTTATCCAAGTCAATAGATTATATTTGAAAGTGTTTAATATGATTCAAACATGAAAAATAATTTTTCTAATGCAAGAAATATTTTGAGCACTAAGAAATGTTTTAGTCAAGAATTTCACATACCTAAATGAATGGAAACTTGATTGTTCTTGTCTTCAAGCTTTGACTTCTTAAATGAATAGAAACTTGATTGCTCTTGTCTTCAAGCTTTGACTTCTTAAATGAATAGAAACTTGATTGCTCTTGCCTTTAACCTTTGACTTTTTTTTGTTGATGTGTTTGTCTTCATCAAAACTATAAATAAATATAAGAAGAACTCTTCTTCACAGTTATCAAATATTCAACACTTAAGGCCTTTTTAGGCTCCCTCTAGCTTCACGACTACTTGTGTAAATCGATCGATATAAGACTGTATACTCCCCCACTTCCCTTGAATGACCCCGCTAAAAAAAGCTAATATCACTGGATGCCTTTTTCGGGTGGTAAAGTGAGTAGTGAATCTTATGTAGAAATTTGTTCAGAATTCAATACTCTCATTCGACAAAACGTTGAACCATAGCCTGGTCGACTCAACTAGAGTTATAGTGGACAACTTTCATTTGGAGGCTTCGTCATCACTAAAGTAATTGAACTAATCGTTGACGAGTTGCACGTGCTCATATGGATCTCCTTTTCGATTATACTCACTTAGTTTATGAGGTTTTTCCTCAGGGATTTAGGGAGGACTCTAGCGCTTTTTGCTCCTCTGCTGATTCTACTGCTTTGGAGCTTCATCTTTCCAAGTTACATTCGGCTCAAGAATGGTGGTTATAGCCTCTTGGGCGGTGTTTCCTCATTAAGACACATTGTGTAGGCTTTCTTTGAGACGAAGAAACATTTCCTTTATTTTCGGTGAATCATGTTGTCGAACGATGTTGTATATGACGTTCAGCAAATCGTTGGCGCCTTGCAACCCAAGGTTAGCTCACAATAATTTGAAACTAAGTAAGGCTTCAGGTTGTGAAACTGGTGGCGAAATTGAAGGTACAATCGAAGGCACTTGGACAAATCCAACTATCTGAGGAACATATAGCATATTTAGATGTAGCGGAACCTCTCCTACTAGATTTGCAACAATTATCGAGAAGTGTAGGAATCAGAGATTTAGAAGTTCAGAATTATCGAGAGGAGGTGAAGGTGGTTGATTAATTGTTGTTTGAGCAGCGGCAATGGAAGTGCTTTTCGTGTTGTAGAGGAGTGAGTAGCCTTGGATCCAACAATTATCGAGAAGTGTAGGAATCAGAGATTTAGAAATTCAGAAAATTAAAGTTGATATGTTATTTTATTAGATCGAACGAGATGAATCTTCGTGTTCGATTTTGGGAACTCTTTATCTAATGAACTGAAAGTTTTCAAACTGACGAATCGAAGAATGAACGTGAGATCGTGGAAAATGCGTAAATCGGAAGTCAATTTCCACAAATTGAGTCATTGTTGCGTACTTGAACCAAAAATGGAGTGAGGATCAGTGATAATGGCATATTTGAGCTTCTAATACGGGGGAGTGGCGTTGGCCTACAAGGTTAGCACTCCAACGCTCAAGTTAGTACGTGTGAGCAAAGAGTGAATTAAAATTGAATACCTAAATTGACGCGCTTTCTATATATAGTATAGAGAGAATAACAACTTATTATTTGTTAGGTGTAAATCGCTAAGTGTCGTTGAATGTATCTGGAGTTTGGATCCTCTCTAGTTATCGTCAGGGTAGCTCTCATGGACTAAAGAGGTTCGGTAAGGATTGCAGTTCTTTTAAAGTGGTTGGTCGGAAGTATCTAACTCTCTTTTAGAATCCCTAAGGACAAATTAATTTAGTTTGCTGAGAAAGACGGGAATACACAATCAAGTTCGCTTATCACCACAAGTCAATAGGAGACACCAAGACATTGATTTCTAATGGAAACGAGAGCAAGTTATGGAAAGGAATATGGCACATACCCCTAACAAACAACTACAAGAATTTCCTTTGGAGACCTGTGAAGGAAATTCTTCCAACAAGATGTCAACTTAATCATGAAAGGAACGAAGATTGACCATGTCTGTCCCTTATGCTACTATGAAACTGAAACTAAACAGCATCTTTTCTTGAACTGTCATTCTGTGAAGCGCGTGTGGTTTGCACCACCTCTGAGTATTCACATTCCTAGAAATGTTGAGCTAAAGATGTGGTTGTTGAATTGATTTAATTGCAAGGATCAAAGAGGGGCTCAAGTTGTGTGTGCACTTCTAGAGAAAATTTGGCAAGGAAGGAACCAACAAATCTTTCACCCCAAACAGTTTAATCCGCTTGAGGTGGTGCGAGGAGCTACCGAGATTGTTGAGGAGTTCATCCATGCTAATGTTCAGCACTAAAGCATGAAGAGGGACCATTACGACATTGACAGAGCCCCTGCTGCCACTGCTGATTTTACTACAAACGTGGACGCAGGGTGTTTCTTAGATGGCCAGACAAACATACATTTATAATAGTTCAACATGAAGTTTAAATAGCCCAACTCTATAGTAGCTCAAGGCAGTAAACACAAGCATGATTGAACAACAACTATAGACATGAAATAACATTTACTAATGCTCTTAAGATTTTTTAAGACAGTTTGTTCCCATGCTTGATCTGTTTTAGGCTCATAGATATGTCTTCTCTTATGACAAAATCTATACAATAAACATAACATACTAAAGAGTTCTATCACAAACCATAAAGTTATAATGTCAAAAACAAGATATAATTGTACATGTCTAAGGGCCTAATGAGCTGCAAGAGGCACTCCAGTTTTCTCAGTGAAGCCCTTGATGTATTCCTTTCTAGCAGGGTTATCTTCCTGTGGCCGATTATAAGCTGTCCACACCGGCTCCCCCATAAACAACCTCATTAACTGCACATAACCACATACATGTGCATATAACAAAACAATTCATTCTAATCAACCAATAAAAACCCTTTAATCAAGAGAATTGATGATAGCTGTGATTACCTTCACATAGTTAGTTGTGTCAAGAGTGAACCGGTGATAGATTCCAGCCGGTAAAATGATAAGATCACCGGCCTTGATCCAAATGCGAATCCAGCGATCACCTTTGTCTCGAATATCAAAGTATCCACTCCCCTCCAAACAATATCGAATCTCTTCATCCTCATGAATGTGCTCAGTGTAGAAATTCTTCAACTTCTCTTCGTAATTTTCAACTTTCTCTGGACATAAATCAAGCACATCCTACAAAGAAAAACTCATTTTCAATATTAAAATGTAACTGTATTACAAAAAAAATAAAACTGAAATTAAGAATACCATGTAATTGTATCCTCTAGCTTCCCTAATTTTCTTCAATTCTTGATCGTTTTCATAGTCATTAGGATTGAGCTTCCAGTATAAAACACCCAATTCTGCTAATTGATCCAACGAAACAAATTGAGTAGGGTTGCCAAGGTGAGGAAGCCGTGGATCTTCATTGCTATCGTCCATCAACCATGCCTATCACAATTTTTAATTATCGCCACGAGTTTTAGGCTAGAGATTAATTCATAGAGAAGAAGAAAAGAAGAAGAACTCACCTGAATCGCCATGAGTACAAGTTTCCTGTGGTTCTTTTCCTACACAAAAATGCGGAGAATATATTATATATATATTTGTGACTACGAGACATAAAAAAATGTAATACCAATAAACTAAAAAATGGATTATATTATTGTGGTGTATTTTTAGTTACTAATGTACATGAGGTGGGTGCTTCCGTTCCACCCGTGAAAAATATCGACATTGTTTTTTTATGAGATTGTTTCTTTCTGGCTGGGTGCTTTCACAAATGGCTTTCTAGTCTCTTCCATTGTTAACTCGATATTTTTTTATGGAAGAGAAAATTTCTACAAAATATAATTAAACAGTTTGAAGAAAAATGTTAATTACAATTTCTTTATTAATTAAAAAATAAAAATATTTATTTTTCTTCTTCCTATCACAACTATTTTATGATTCAAATTTAAAAAAATTAAATTTATAAGAAAATCGAATTTCCTATAAAAATTGTTCATTCTCTTCTGCATTCCTCATATTAACCATGAAACTTTACTGCAAAAAACTTACGCAGTATCCGGAGTTGTATCTCCGAAACATGCTAAACATGAATTTTTTCGAAGATAAATTTTCAGAATGTTTTTGTGTTCATTTTCCATCCTTTTTGCAGCAGTAGATTAATCATTTTTACTTTTTTATTGTTTGAAATAGATATGATGCACCCCGATAATATCTCGAAACAAGAAGTTTCTTCGAATGTTCAAGGGGTTGTTGTTAAGGCAGTAGATGTTCACAATGAATTCAATAACAAGCAAGAGTTTTAAAATCGTGATAACATGCTCGAATGGATTCGTATGGTGGCATCTAGATTTGGATTTGATGTGGTTATCTGTAGGTCGGATAATGACTCGGATAGAAGAAGCGCATTTATGACTATGTTGTGCGAAAGAAGCGAGAAATATCGAACTCCTCTACGGAATTTTAAGAGAGAAAACACGAGTAGTAGGAAATGTGAGTGTTCGTTTAAGGTTCGTGGTTACATGTTAGCTAGCAAAAAATGGAGATTTAATGTCATTTGTGGTGTGCATAACCATGAATTGTGCTTAAAATTAGCCGGGCATTCTAGTGTATGTCAGCTCAAGCCAGAGGAGAAGGTATGTATTAGTGAAATGACCTTGAATTTTGTCCAACCGAAAAATATACTTGCAACATTGAAACGCAAGCAAACCGATAATATATCAAACATCAAGCAAGTGTATAACATTCAATAGCTCACTAAAAAGGCAATTAGGGGAGATAGAACTGAGATGCAACAACTGTTGAAACTAATGGACGATAACAGTTATGTGTCCTGGTACCGAACTTGCGACGATGGAGTTACGGTTAGAGATATTTTTTAGACTCGTCTGGGTTCGATAAAGTTGTTCAACATGTTTTCGACAGTGCTCATATTTGGTTGTACCTATAAGACTGACAAGTATAGACTTCCATTATTTGAGATGGTTGGTGTTATTTTTCGCGCGGTAAAGCGGCAAGCAAAAATGTATTGAGTATCCGGTTTTCTCGTCTCCACAGGAATCAGTGCGAGAGAATGAATGTCGTTCAACGTTCTCTACGTTTCTCAGCTTGTGGTAAAAGTTATGGTTGAAAGATTCAAATATAAAGTAAGGACTTAAAATAAACGGAGCCTTGTTGAGATTGGAATTTCATCAATCGATAACACGTGCATTCTTCTGACCAGTTAAACACAAATTAATCATTCGTCTAATACTCTCACGTATCATCCACAATCGAAGTTATGTCTAACACAAAGTTGAGAGAACAATTGTATTGTCTCATTGGTGATGTCTCACGCAACTCACAATACAGCGCATTAAGAACCGATACTCACACGAATGTTAAATCTAAATCTGTGTCTAGAGTTTAGAACCTACAAATATTTATCCTAGATCTATATCTGAAGAGTATATGTCTATAGCGGTTCAAATCAATGTGTAAACAAGTAAACAAGGATAACACCCATATCAGATAAATGATTGCTTCATATAAAATGTCATGATCAGAATACGTACATACAATTAACCTTTTTTTACATGTATTAAACTAATTTATGTATGTGAACATAGTTCTTCTTCTCTATTATCGCAAGCTTGATATTAGTGAATATCAACTCACTAAACTATGTCAAACGTTTGCTCATTGATAGATGAATATATCAAACCCATTATATGAATCAAAGACAACATCAATATTGAATCAAAACTAGTTCACAAATACATAGATTAGAAGAAATACATAAGGTATCAAAAGATTACATCCAACCCCAACAAGAGATCAAAGCACTTACTTGAAGATCAAGCTCCAATTTGCTTGTATTTGGACTTCTCTCTGTTAGAATTTTGTGTTTCTCTCTCTAAAATATATTTGGAATGAAGAGAGATAAACTCTCCTTCTGAAAATCTAAGTTACGTTTCTAAAAATCAAGGAAAGTACATAAATAGTGTTACAAAATCTGTCTCATTCGCACTGCAAAGTTTACTTATAGGTACCTAAAGTGCCTTTGAACAGTTAAACCGCCCCTGAGAAAATATCTAAGCTCGCACTGCAAACGTATTCGCCCAGGCCTTCGCACTGCGTTCAGAGAGGCGTTTTGCTACTGCCATTCAAAATTTCCAGCTCGCTAGCCTTCGCCTTGAGCTGGCACTGCAAGCTCGCCTTGGCTTCGCTTCTGGTCCGCACTGCGAACTTGCTGAATCTTATTCTTTTCTTTGGCTTCCTTGTCCATTCATTTATGTCTTGTTCTTTGATAATCAAACCTAAATCCTACACAATAACACATAAATCAAGGCATTCAAAGGTACATGCAATTTTATTGAAGATTCACACAAGAACATGGAATAAATAAATGAAAACAAAAGAAAAGAGTTGAAAAATGCCAAGAGTAATGATTCATTTTATGTCATATTTGGCATTCAATAGTTACCTCAACTAAGAAGATATACTTTGTTGGTTTTTCATTTTTAGAGTGTGAAAAAGAGGACAATTTTACTTGGGCATTAGAGGTGTGTCGGTCACTTTTGAAGGATCAAGGTGAGATGCCTAAAGCTATTGTTACGGACCGCGATACCACATTGATGAATATGGTTGCAAAAGTGTTTCCTTCTTCTTATGCATTACTTTATAAGTATCACATAACAAAGAATATGAGAAGTCGGGTTAAATCCGCGGTAGCGATGAAACAAGTAGAGTCCGAAGGTGGAAAATTGGTGAAGTCGGATGTGATTGTGGAGAAAATAATGGATGCATGGAATCACATAATAAATTCTTCCACAAAAGAAACCAGGATGCCTCATACCATCTACATCACCGGAATGGACAACTCATTCAACCGAAAATGTCGAGACGTGGCCAGATCACTTTATAGAAAGGATGCAAGAATTCGATAGATTAAACAACATTGAAAAGGAATTGAATGCACAAAAGTCAAAGAGGGTACCACCTATAGATTTATCCGGCGACACGTGTTTTAATTCGTTTGGATTTATTTTTTGTAATCGGGCAAATAATTGTATATAAGTGTGTCTCGATATAAATGAAGTGTTACATATTCACTTGTTATTCATATTTAGTCTTTATGCATATTTGGTCTTTCTCAACTCTCTGTCATATGATTTTGTTTTGAAAATGTATCAGGAAAAGTTCCGGAGATACATCTCCGGAAGGTTCTTTCATTTGCTTTATTTTTTAATGGTTTAGGGAAAGCTTTGGAGATGCATCTCCGGAAAAAGATAATGTGGTGTCGTTCGCATATATATAATCGGAGTATGAATGACAGTCAATGAGCGGCCCTTATTGAACTAAGTCTTCTATAAATTTGAGTGTTCTTGTGTTATACTTCACACAAACTCAAAATGTCTCAAATGTGTGAAATAAACATATGTTGGTATGTCGCAAGTGTCTTCTACTCCGTCGCCTCTACACCCAGGAGGACATTCAAGCTCACCGATCTCACCTTCCTCGACGATATCATAGACGAAATCCACTATCTCCCACCTAACGGAGACACACAAATGATTGTCAAGCTTGAGTATCGTTCACCCTCAGTTGACAATGAAGGGAACATTGTGTTCAATAAATTTGAGCTCAAGACTCGAGCGAATGTTATGGCATGCGGCGAACGTTTTTCGATTTAAAAGAGAAAGTTTTGCTCGAGTTGGAAGCGACACTATGAAGATCGGCCGACGATATTTGGAGATATGCAAGCGTCTACTGGAATATTGAAATGTAATATTTAATTTTCTGTTGAAATCATCATTGTAATGCTCATTTTATGTTTGGGAAATTCATCTTGGGTTGATTCTGTCTCTGGTTTTGTTCTGGAAATATAACTACAGTATGTTTTCGAAAATATATCTCTGGAATAAATCTTTAACAAATGCATGAGGCGTCATCCATAATGGCCTTCCTTGAGTGTGAAAATGGAACGTCCGGAGATATATCTCCAGAAATTAGAAACAATATAAGAAATTTGCATGGTGTCTAAGAAACACATAGGGTGTAATAAGAAATTTTCAACGCCTAATTACTCTATGAGCAATGGGACCGTCTGATAAGAGGAATCTTCTTGGCATCTTCTAAATTAAATATAACACCGCTTTTTTTTACAATGACAAAAATATTTTTGTCAAAATTTAACTAAAAAGAGTGAACAAATAATTCGATAGTACAATTTAAAAAATCTTGTATGTTTTATAATTTTATAATTTCTTTTTTGCAAAAATCGATAATTAATTTTGATAGGCAACAAAATTTGAAATTAACACTACTGAATTTTTCAAAAAAATCTGGTACAATATCGAAAATTTTGAAAAATCCCAAAAAAAAATCTCGTATTGTATTTGAAAAATTCGATAAAAACTCGTAGTTCTTTTGAAAAATTCAATAGTATATTTTAAAGAATTCAATAAAAACTCACAGATTTTTTAAAATATTTGATAAAAACTCAGTTTTTTTTTAAAAATCTAATAAAAACTCTTTTTTTTAAATACGTTAA